TTTTTTTCGTCTCATCCACCCTTCATAAATTCCCAATCTCTCCTCCACTCCTACCTTTTCTTTTGAGACAGCCTTATTATTTTGGTTTGTTGGTATTGTTTGTTTCCCGCTATGGCATCCACACTCAGATTGGGGAGCGCTGCGCTCCGTTCCACTTCCATCGCTCAGAAGCCGGTGGTTCAGTCTGCAGCGTTCAATTGCCTTCGCTACTACTCATCTGCGAAGACCAAGGTCAGTGGTTCCGAATTACAATAATATATAGGTACGGAACGCTAACGGGCGCGCGATGCTGGCTCCAGTCCCTTAAAGACACCTTTGCCGACAAGCTTCCCGGCGAGGTTGAGAAAGTGAAGAAGCTCAGAAAGTGAGAGATTAGCGATTAGCGATAAGGGATGGTTATGATGCCCAGTAGCTAATCAATTCACTGCCATTGGTAGGGAATTCGGCTCCAAGGTCATTGGAGAGGTCACCCTTGACCAAGTTTATGGAGGTGCCCGTGGTGTGAAGTCCCTCGTCTGGGAGGTGAGCGGAATAAATTTGAATAAAGAGAACCGTAGATGGATGCTCATTGTATCTAGGGATCGGTTCTTGACTCCGAGGAGGGTATTCGTTTCCGAGGATACACCGTACGTCACCTTGAACTACCATGAAGACCTTCAAAAAAGTGTCTGACCAGCTGTTTAGATCCCTGAATGCCAGAAGCTGCTCCCTAAGGCCCCAGGGGGCGAGGAGCCTCTTCCAGAAGGTCAGCGGAACCCTCTTGTGATGAGAATAAATGTGCTGTAGCTTGGAAAATGGACAAACTGACCCAAAAACACAGGTCTTTTCTGGCTGCTGTTAACCGGAGAAATCCCCAGCGAGCAACAAGTCCGCGCGCTTTCTGCCGAGTGGGCTGCTAGATCCGATGTCCCCAAGTTCGTCGAAGAGCTCCTCGACCGCTGCCCAAGCACCCTGCACCCAATGGCCCAATTCTCCCTCGCCGTGACCGCCCTGGAGCACGAGTCTTCCTTCGCAAAGGCTTATGCCAAGGGTATCAACAAGAAGGACTACTGGCAGTATACATTCGAGGATTCCATGGACTTGATCGCCAAGCTGCCGACAATTGCCTCTAAGATCTACCGCAATGTCTTCAAGGATGGCAAGGTCGCCCCGATCCAGAAGGACAAGGACTATGGCTTTAACTTGGCCAACCAGCTTGGCTACGGAGAAAACAAGGATTTTGTTGAGCTCATGCGTCTCTACCTCACTATTCATTCCGACCACGAGGGTGGTAACGTCAGTGCGCACACCACTCACCTTGTCGGCAGCGCTCTCAGCTCTCCTATGCTCTCTCTTGCTGCCGGTTTGAATGGTCTTGCTGGTCCTCTTCACGGATTGTAAGTCGCCATTGAACCCGGGCACTCTTCAGTAATGAATATACTGACTTTGTATTTTAGGGCCAACCAAGAAGTGCTTGTCTGGCTTCAGAAGATGAAGAAGGCCATTGGCAACGATCTTAGCGACCAGGCCATCAAGGACTATCTCTGGTCTACATTGAATGCCGGCCAAGTTGTCCCAGGCTATGGTCACGCCGTCCTCCGCAAGACCGATCCCCGATATGTGTCCCAGCGCGAGTTTGCTCTCCGCAAACTGCCTGATGACCCCATGTTCAAGCTTGTCAGCCAGGTTTACAAGATTGCTCCAGGCGTTCTTACCGAGCATGGCAAGACTAAGAACCCTTACCCCAATGTGGATGCTGTGAGTTTCCCTTCACTCTTCCTTTCCGCCCTTTGTCGCGCAAAAATTAATATTTCGTTTCTAGCACTCTGGTGTTCTCCTCCAGTACTATGGCTTGACTGAGGCCAGCTACTACACTGTCCTCTTCGGTGTGTCTCGTGCGCTCGGCGTCTTGCCACAGCTGATCATCGACCGTGCTCTCGGTGCTCCAATTGAGCGACCCAAGTCCTTCAGCACCGAAGCTTATGCTAAGTTGGTTGGAGCCCAGTTGTAAAGATCCAAGTCCCTTGGCTTTGCAGCGTTTTCAATATGGCATGAGACTCGCACGATTTATTACTTTTAGGGAGCTCGCTTTCTCCCTTCCAAACTGTCTACCCTCCGCTTTTTACTTTTTCCGTCGAGCACAAATTTCTTTTCTTTCCAGTGGGATTCTCAAGGTTCAAACGGGAGGTGTAGGGTAGAGGTTCTTGGTTATTGATTTATGTATAGTCCAAGTACTGCAAGTTTTCTTTTTTTTTTTTTTTTTAACCAGTGTATTAATATGAGGCCACTTATGTGCTGCTCTGCATCTCGTCTCCTCTCATGGACTCATCTGGCCGTTATAGCTTTGCCTATTACAGGCAGCATCAGTGGCATTGTAATTTTCATGCCTCAGGAAGGATGAGCACACAGCGCCCCCAACCTTCGGATTCCGGCGCGTTCCTTCGCTGTCCGTCGCGGGCGGTGTTTGTTGGGAGCACGGAGCTGGCTGTTGAGTTCAACAAAGCCCAGCTCGCTCTTCCCAAGAGCTTGGGCTGAGAACGCCATGTTATCAGCCACAGCCGGGACACGGCCTCTGATTCGCGGAGGGCCCTGACACTAAAATTCTGTTGGCTGAGTCATCGGGAACCTTTCCTGATAAGGATTAGCACATAAATCACACCATCGTGGATGACACAGGCCGCTAGTCCGTTCTGAGAATGTTTGCTCTGTTTGAGGGAGATTGGCTCGCGTTGGGCGACTTAGTCAGCAGCCATTGGCCCCTAGGGGGAGGTTCGTTGGTCGGAGCGTTTATATCTGCAGTTTCAGCCCAGATCTTCAGCTTCCTTTCCCTTTTTTTTCTTTTTTCTCTTTATTGACGAAATTCTTGTTATTATCAAGGCTCAGAGCGTCGTCGCGGCCCTCCAGAAATTCAAGTGTAAGCATCCCTGCGTTCCATTGCTTTTTTACCTCGGTGAGTTTTATGGATTTCACAAGGGCTTTTTCGGCCGCAGAAAGGGGAACGGGCTTCCCCCGAGCTCGCGGCATCCGGAATTCTTGGCTAAACGATTGAACCCGCCAGATTACGGAGCAAAACGTTCTTTAGTTCCAGAGAGAACACGGAGTAAAGGAAACTCCGCCCGTTTACCACGGTGATCCCGCAAAACTTTCACAAGGAAATACAGATCTGTCTTCGGAGACCAAGTCAGGACTGAATTCACGGTCAGCCGTCGTTGCGCGTTTTGCCCCCATCCATTCGCCCTCAAAACCACCCCATTCGGCTACAACAGCAGTAGAGGCGACGCTTCTGCTCCCAATTCCACAACCAATCTAAAAACCCAGAACAACACCGGCGAAGACGCCCCCTTCATCCCTTGGTCAGGGCCCCTTTCAGCGTCCCAGTGTCAAGAGATGTCCGCCGCTCAGGTTTCCTCCGCCACCAGCGCTCCTCGAACTATCGAGAAGAAACCCGTCAAGTTCAGCAACTTGCTGCGTGAGTATTCTCTTACAACAATTCTGTTATAACTGCTTGGTTCAAGACCAGTTTGCTGATCTATGTTCGTATTGGCTTAGTTGGCGCCGGTTTGAACTTGTTCGAGTAAGTAGTAGTACCACATCAACTGGAGGTCAATTGGATTTTGAGAGCAGCGGTGCTGACACTGTGTTTGCGCAACCGATCAGGGTCACCACGCTGGGACAGGTAACTTTTCCCTCTATTGTATGGTTGGTTAATGGATGGCTAACTGTTTTGATTGAATAGCCGCTGGAAGTGATCAAGACAACCATGGCTGCCAACAGAAACGATAGCTTTGCGGGAGCCATGGGGCGGATTTGGGGTCGTGGCGGTGTTCTCGGCTGTAGGTTTCCTTTTTTTAAGATAGTGAGCCCGCAACCATCGCTAATAAGTTTTGAACGATATAGATTTTCAAGGACTCATTCCGTGGGCCTGGATTGAGGCATCGACCAAAGGTGCTGTCCTCCTCTTCGTGGCATCGGAAGCCGAATATCACGCGAAGACTTTCGGTGCATCTGATTTTATTGCGGGAATCGGCGGAGGTATGGCAGGCGGTGTCGCTCAGGCATACGCAACCATGGGTTTCTGCACTTGCATGAAGACGGTAGAGATCACCAAGCATAAGATGGCTGCGGCTGGCGTAAAGCCTCCCAGCACCTTCGCTACTTTCATGGATATCTATCGCCGTGAAGGTATTCGCGGAATCAACAGGGGAGTCAATGCGGTCGCCATCCGCCAGACTACCAACTGGGGTTCACGATTCGGCCTGTCTCGATTGGCTGAAAGCGCGATCCGCAGAGTTACTGGCAAAGAAGACGGCCAGAAACTCAGCGGTTTCGAAAAGGTTATTGCTAGCGGTCTGGGTGGCGGTCTGTCAGCCTGGAACCAGCCTATCGAGGTTATTCGAGTTGAGATGCAGAGCAAGACCGAAGATCCCAACCGCCCCAAGAACTTGACCGTGGGTAAAACCTTGAAATACATCTATAGCACCAATGGAGTCAAGGGATTGTACCGAGGTGTGACTCCTCGCATCGGTCTCGGTATTTGGCAGACAGTCTGCATGGTCGCTCTCGGTGATATGTATGCTTCCCACCATCAAGTCGTTTAATTGCTGCTAACCACTATATCTGTAGGGCTAAGGAAGCTGTCGAGAAGTTGACCGGTGACAAGGTCACTGCCAAACACTAGGCACGAAGCTATAAACTAATATCTTGGGCCTTGTGCGACGCGTCGCCATTTCAATCCTTGCTTTTACTCGTTAAACACAAGTGTTTGCATAGAATAACCGTGTGTGTTTTATAATCTGACGAAATTCTCTAGATTACATACACCGCCCGTATTGTAGTCTTTTTTTTTAATGACTTGTATCTTACCAAATACAATACTTATACCATATTGGATCAATTGAGCCAGAAAAAAAAAGGTCAAAATGTGCACTCTCATTCTTAATACAAGTACAGTACATGCGGTCTATTCGAACAATCTTTTGAGTCGAGGGTTTCCCTTCTCACGCTCCTCATTACCTCTTTTTCTCCCCTTGGTCCCCCCTTCTACTTAAACTCGCTACGTTTTCTCGTCCCCCTTTCATAGATAGCCCAAAAGGAAAAGAGATGCCACCAAATAAATGAAAAAGCCTTCGAAGTAGACGCTGGACAGGCACAGGGAATGATTCTAAAGGAAAACAGCTGGTCAGGGTGACGAGTGTATGGAAACGGCTCTATGCGCCCTTCCAACAAATATTTTGTCTTATTTTTTTTTTTTTTTTTGGTGTTTGCTTTTAATGTAGGAGATTTTGAAAACGAAGGAGGAAACAGAAATGAGTTTAGCTTCGGGTATGTTAGATATTTGATGGCTTTATATATTTACACAGTTAGACCGAGCTCAGAGGCATAGGGGATGCGGAAGAGGTCGCCGACGCTGGCAACGGAGGCTTTGCCTGCCAAAAGAGACTTAGCGGCCTAAAAAACCGTGAAAAAAATGTCAGTGTTAGTTTGATCATTTTCTTACTCAACTGCTTGAAAGGGGATGAGGGTTATGCGTACCTCCTTAACTTGCTGCTCAGTAACTTTCTCGATGCTCTGGCCGACCCCAGCAATCTGGAATGGCTGGCTGCCATGGACGAGAGCAGAGCCGGTAAGCTCCACACCGGATGTGAGGTTCTGTCCACATTCAAGGGCACGGAATCTAGCCAATGCGATCGCCTTCTTGATATCTTCGCTCGCAATGTTGCCAGAAGCAACTTTCTTGATGGTCTCCACGACGCTCTTGCTGGCTTGGGCAACGGACTCAGCCTGACCAGAGATAGTAATATGGAAAAGCCCAGCATCGGAGTAGGTGGCCTGCTTGGCAGACACAGAGACACCAGAGACCCCCTCGACAGCCTTGGAGAGGAGAGAGGAGCCAGTGGACCACTTAATGGTGGATTGACCTCCAAGAAGGGCAGCCAAGACGTTGAATTCGGGCTTGTAGCCGTTGGTGCCGAAAGAGCTGGATCCAGGGAAAGCGATAACCATAGCGTTTCCGGCTTGGCTGGCGATGCGCTGCTCGCCTCCGAAATATTTGCTGGCTTCGCTAGCGACGGCGCCGGATGCGGGGGAAGCGGGAACACCGGAGAAGAATTGGCCGACCCATTTTGAGACTTCGCTTGCATTGGCGCCGTTTGAAATAACAGCAGTAGTGGCCTTGGTGTATACGTTCTTGCTGAAAGCGGCAACACCGTCGGCATCAACATTCAGAGGAGCCGAAGGAGACGGGATCAGTGGGTTTCCGAGTCCGCGGTGGAAGGCAACGTTGTGAACAGCATCGAGGGCTTGGAGCGAAGGGTTGGCGACCAATTCTTGCTGGGAAAGCTTGACGTGATCAACGACAACTTCGCTGAGTTCATAGGCTAAATACCCAGGTTAGCATCTTTCCCTCTTGATTCATCGAAACGCCTGCCTACCTGAATATTTCGCATTTGAGAGGACTTCCGCCAGCAATTCGGCATAGTAGGGAAGGTCAGCGCTCAGAAATTTCGTCGTGAGGACCACGTTCTCTCTCGAGTGGTAAGCCGAGAACTGCCCTCCAAGCAATTCGGATTCTCGGGTGATCCGTAGCGCCGATCTTTTCGTCGTTGACTGTCAATTGAGAAAATTCTATCAGCTACTGATGTTCCAAACACACTCCGGTCTACATTTCCGGCTGAATACGGGGAAATCGTCCCACCTTGAACGCAAAGTTGGCCAACGCATCGGAGTATCCAGGCAATGGCTGGTATCTCGAGCCGGCTTTGGCGACGACGGTCAATGTTGTGGTCGGGGCTGGGAAGTCCCGGCAAGCGAGCTTCACGCCAGCGGCTTCAGTGGTTTCGTAGTCGTAGCCCTTTGGAGCTGCTGCGGAGGCCATGCCCCGTTGAGAAGTGGACAGGCATTGTTTTCGGAAAGCCTGTACGGCTTGCCGGCCGAAGGAGGTTCGCGACAGCATCATCGCATGTGATGATGAAGGAAGGAGACAGAAGCAAGGAAGAAGAAGAGCAATTGGCGGGGGAGGATGGGGTTGCGCGAGTCGAGAAGACCGGGTGACCTCGTTTGCGTCGGTTCAAAAAGCCTTCCAAACATTCAATCTCAGTTGTTCGGAACACGCCAATTGGGATGAGGTTTGATCACCCTGGCGCTGATTGGCTGCGTTGACGATACTTTTCGCTGGAGTCACGTGCGGTATCTTTTCGTGTATCGCTGGCGTATCGCTGGCCGCAACCACGGTAATTTTGCCAAAAAAGCCGTCGAGCAAGTTGCTTTGAGTTGGCCTCGTCCCTGGCATTCTTGCAGGTACTGTGCGCGTGTTTGTTGCTCTCTCTCGTTCTCCTGGCAGATGAAGGACCGCAGGTGACCCCGACAACATCTTCTAGAGGGGCCGGCATCACTCTAGAAGCTCGCAAAGATGTCTCAGGTGAGTCGGGGCCTTTTCGCTGCTGCTCCAGTCCCCCACACCCCCAGCTATTTGAAAGCGGGATAACTGATGCGATCAACCAGTATGCCGCAGAGCTTTGCAAGCTTCTAATTACGGATAATTTTGGAGAGCTATACGCTGTACGTATTATCCCTACGTCTTCAACGGGATCGAGGCGGAATTAAGCGCCGCCGGGAACTTCAAAACTGATCATCTCCTCATAGCTCATCTTCATCTACCTCCTCAACCATGGCCGGCAACCGCTCCCTAGAATCGTGCAGAACACCCACCTGTCTCCCCGGCAGGTCAGGCATGGACTCGCCGTCCTCGTCCAACAGCATCTCGTCTTCCACTGTACCTCCCTCGACGATGGTATCACATACTACGAATCCAACTGGAGGTCCGCTTATAACTTGGTGAGATCGGGGAAGATTATACAGTTGGTCGAAGAAAGACTGGGTAACCGCGCAGCCAGCATCGTGTCTACCCTCCTGGCACTTGGCCATGCGAAAATCAGCTATCTCGAATCGCTGCCTGAACTCCAACCGGGGCACGAACGTCCTGTGAAAGCAAATGGCATAAATGGTGTCCACGGCGGAGAAGGCGAAGATGTAAATGGCGTGGATAATGACGCGGAAAACCATACGGATCATGCGCACGATTACCAGCAAGACGGACCCGTCCGGGAACCAAATGGTTACCATGACTCCGACCCTGGGCTCCAGGTCCAGACGATATTGCAACAGCTTGCTGCTTTTGGCTTTATTACTCGTGTCCGCAATCAACATTTTCAGAGCCCTGAGGATAATTTCGATGCAGCGCTTAAGGCAGCAAAAAGCAACGGCGACTCCTACGGCCTGAAGGGTAACAAGCTGGAAGCCAAGCTTACAGAGGACGCAGAGAAGCTCGTTAAAGAATGGACTGATGGTAGGATATCTCGGGCACTTCCATCGGCGAGCTTGCTACGAGGTGTAAAACGACGCCTCCGAAAGGATGATTCATCTGCTCCTAGGAAAAGGCTAAAGCTTGATGGGCCTCTAGAGGATGATGTCAAGGACGAGGATGATGGGGATGACTTTTCTGACGATGATTACCATAATGATGAGATGGCCGCATTGGATGTGAGTTGTTTATTCGCTTCTCAGGTTAATGGTAGTGGAATGCTGACCATGAGTAGCCTAACATGGTAATTCGGGTCAATTATGAAAAGTTCAACGTTGCCTTGAGAAACCGACGGCTGATTGAGCTAGCCGACCAGAATGGAAGCGCAGTGACATCTCAAGTATATGAAACACTGCTTTCGCACATCGAAGTTCAAACTCCGACGTGTCGTGAACATGTAGAAGCTATTCCTGAAGGAGAAGAAGCGGAACAATATTCAGTCTCGATTCGCTTGGATACCATTTCTAGAGACCTTGACATTGACTTGGATCTTGCTGGGGTAATTGCCGGAATTATACCCGATAATATCAATGGGATTAAAGAGGATGAGGATGATGAAGACGAGGAAGGCGGCCCTGTCAGCATGAAACGACGCGGTCCGAGCCGCAATTATTTGGTTGATCAGCACCTCTCCTTCCTCGCCGCAGAGCCGAGTTTCTTCTGCACCCGACGAATGCAAGCGGGTATGATTACATGGGCTGTGGAATATCGGCACCTCGCGAAAAAGCTACGGCATCTGGAACTCGAGCGATTAATCGAAGCCCGATTTGGCGGATTTGCTGTCCGTATTGTGAGAGTTCTTGCAGCCAAGGGCAAGTTAGACGAGAAACGCCTACAAGAGATTAGTCTAATGGCTTCGAAGGATCTCCGCCAGATTCTGGGTCAGATGGCCAGCGCAGGCTTTGTGGAGCTGCAGGAAGTACCGCGCGACGCCCAGCGCCAGCCGTCCCGTACAATGTATCTTTGGTTCTACGATCCTGACCGAGTTCGTTTCATGGTAATTGAGGATACGTATAAGAGCATGTCTCGATGCCTTCAACGAATACGCGTTGAACGAGAAAAGTTGAAATTTCTCCTTGAAAAGACAGAACGGTCCGATGTCAAGGGAAATGAGGACCGCTACCTGTCCGCAGCGGAGCTACAAACTCTCAAGGAATGGAGGGATACGGAGAAGTTGCTCTTGGGCGAAGTGGCTAGGTTGGATGAATTAGTTGCCGTGCTTAGGGACTACTGAGATTTCTGTTGCGACTAGCCTTGGTTGGGCCTTTTTTTTTTCGGTCTCACTTATTCCTCTACTGGGCCTTTCACGGTGCAAAATGGCGTGTGTCGGTCTAGCGAAAAAAATAAAAAATTGGGGCATTTAAAAACAGGATGACATTTATTTGGGGGCATTGAATGGATATCTATGTTGAATATCAAATGGAACTTTTGCAACAATAGCAGATTTTTAGTCCATATATTCAGAGTTCGATGCTAGTTTGTGTCTTCAGAGCTGGAAATATTGGTCTGTAACGAATATATTAAGGATATTTTGTAGTTGCAAAATGGATGAGTGTCCATCCATGAGAATTAAGTTGGGTTATTACTTTGATTTCTTCTCTGTATTCGTCTCCATATTCGCGCTGTTAACAATTCCGCTCACGCAGGATTGAACGAAGCGGAAAGCCCACCAAGCAACAACTGTCGCCAAGGCAACATACAGGGCGGTGGGCACTAGGGATTTGGGGAAGATGTTCATGAGATATGGGTCAAGGATAATATCCACAACGACGGGCGGAACGTGATCCATAAGCGTCTCATTAAGTGTGAAATAGTCTGCCGCAGCATCAATGACAAGCAACAATGATGATGTACTTGGCGATGCAGATGACAATCTTGAGGGTGGAGAATGTTCGGTGAGCTTGACGGCGGAATAATCTATTAAAGAAGATGACAAGGAAGGGAAATCGAGGACATCAGATACTGCGAATGTCCTGAGATGGAAAGATGTCGGTTGCTGGAGCTGATGATGAGCCTTTAAGGTAATAGACATATCTATAAATTGGAGGAATTGAGCACTTACGGTTGCAAGCCAGCATATGCGGACTTCATATCGTTGCCCAGGATTCAAGTTAAGGAGACGAACCCAGGATTTCACTCCCATGGGAGCGGTTTCGGATGGAAAAGAAGCGTTGAGATGTCTCCTAATCGACGGTATAGATGGAGAGAGTGCGTCTAATCCGGAGAATTCCTCATTGTATAATAATGATGGCAGCTCAGCGGAGTCTGGTTGGGGTGCGATAAAAATTGTCTTCTCAACGTTTGCCAACACCAGTTGTACAAGGAGAGATAGGAGGAATAGAACAGCCAGCATGGCCTGAGTTCTCAAATTGACCGTGCACATGCTATCCCAGAATGTATGCCCGCAGGACCCTCGTCAAACCATAGACCTAGGCACCTTATAGAGTCCCGTTTAACTTCAGAAGATACATTAGCCATTGTATGCAGCACATGTGTTCCCCGTGTTATAAGAACTCGGGTAAATGGATGATTGCACTCCTGGGAACATACCTCCAGAAGCAAGAAGGAATATACAGCTTTTAACGATGAGTATGTAGACATACCGAACAAATTGTGGTCCTCCAAAGATTCACAGAATGCAGATGATCAAATCCCAAACCAAAACTACCTTTATGACGGCACATCCCCCTGATATCTGGAATCATCCCGGGTGCCGAGATGATGTGTTTGGAAGGTTCGGAGAGTGTTTAGTCATCTGTGGTTAAAAGTTACGTTACGGAAATCAGAACGTGAACCAGCAAATCAGAGGGCATGGCTCGCTCCGAATTGCACGTTGGCGGAACATGATTGGCTCATAAATTGAAAAATCAACAATACCTTACAAAAGGAGGGAAAAGTAAACAACGGCTTGGGAAGAACTACAGCAGGGCATAGCTACACAGATTATAGCTGTCGTTTTGGTTTCGGCAACAATTGTTGGGCTGCTATAGTTACCAGTTACTTTTGGAAAACTTTAGTGTCTCTATCTGCAAGAGAGTATAAAAGACGCTGGTTTCCGTTACTACTAAGTTGAACTTACTTGCTACTTGGTGGGAACAAGGTGCATAGTGCTTGGTTAGGGTGTTTTGGTTGGGCCGAAATATTTCTCCGTGACCTCAGGCTTTCTTTTTCTACGAACCTCCAAAAAAACAACTTTCTCATTTATTCACACCAGAGTCACCTTCATCTTTTGACATACTCCTTAAGTTGGTGGCTTATTGTTTTGGAGTGATCTGTGAACAGATAATTGCTCAGAGTTTTGTTGTTTGCCCATCATGAGAGAAGTTATCAGTTTGAACGGTCTGTGCTCCATTACCCTGCCACCATATTAGCTCTTGAGCTATGAATCCTGGGGGTTCGTTGCTGATGCGAAACTGGTATATAGTTGGCCAAGCTGGCTGTCAGATGGCAAATTCTTGCTGGGAGGTATGTTTCTTCCTAACACTTTCATGAAGCACTCGCAGAAGGTGGAATCTATCAATCCTAACCTTTTGTGGCGTGTGATATAGTTGTATTGTCTTGAACATGGCATTCAGGTGAGTAACTCAGCGTCTATTTCTTGTTCTCTGATATAAAAGTCCTTACAGAGTACTAACATGAATTTCCGGGTAGGCGGATGGATATCTGAATGAAGAACGGAAAGCTGGTGATCGTGATCACGGCTTCGAGACTTTCTTCTCTGAAACAGGTGTGTAAATAGGCCCCGATTTTTCCTATGGTGCTAACTTGCTTGTTATGGATTTAGGACAGGGTAAATACGTCCCGCGAACAATCTACTGCGACCTCGAACCAAATGTCGTCGACGAAGTCCGCACTGGGCCCTACCGTAGTCTTTTCCACCCGGAGCAGATGATCACTGGAAAGGAAGATGCCTCGAACAACTATGCTCGTGGCCATTACACCGTTGGAAAAGAGATGATAGACCAGGTCATGGACAAAGTGAGACGCGTTGCCGATAACTGCAGTGGTTTACAAGGCTTTCTGGTCTTCCATTCCTTCGGTGGTGGAACTGGATCCGGATTCGGCGCCCTCTTGATGGAAAGATTGGCTGTGGACTACGGAAAGAAGACTAAACTTGAATTCTGTGTCTATCCCGCTCCCCAAAATGCCACCGCCATCGTCGAGCCCTACAACTCTATTCTTACCACCCACACGACCTTGGAAAATTCCGACTGCAGTTTTATGGTTGACAATGATGCCATTTACGATATTTGCCGCCGGAGTTTGGGTATCGAACGTCCAAGCTATGAGAATTTGAACCGTTTGATTGCACAAGGTGCGTGAATTCCAAGCTTGAGGCGCCATCTTCAAGATTTTGGTTGTGGACTGGCTTTACCAACACAGATTAAATTTAGTGGTGTCTTCGGTTACTGCGTCCCTCCGTTTTGACGGCTCATTGAACGTTGACCTGGCCGAATTCCAAACCAACCTCGTGCCATATCCTCGTATCCACTTCCCTCTGGTTTCATACGCACCAGTTGTTTCCGCGGCTAAGGCAGCGCACGAAGCCAACTCGGTTCAGGAGATTACCATGGCCTGCTTTGAACCCAGCAGTCAAATGGTCAAATGTGATCCCCGTAGCGGTAAGTACATGGCCACATGTCTGCTTTATCGTGGTGATGTGGTTCCCAAAGATGTGCATGCATCCGTGGCCACTTTGAAGACCAAGCGCACTATCCAATTTGTCGACTGGTGCCCAACTGGCTTCAAGATCGGTATCTGCTACGAGCCACCACAAAGAGTTCCCAATGGAGATCTTGCCAAGGTTGATCGTGCAGTGTAAGTAAATCCCCAGTCAAGTGGAGGGATGCCCTGCTGACGTCTGAAAAAGCTGCATGTTGTCAAACACTACCGCCATCGGCGAAGCATGGTCCGCCCTGTCCCACAAATTCGATCTTATGTTCTCCAAGCGTGCCTTTGTCCACTGGTATGTGGGCGAAGGTATGGAGGAAGGTGAATTCTCCGAAGCTCGTGAGGATCTTGCTGCTCTTGAGCGCGACTATGACGAAGTTGCAAGGGATTCTGTGGAGGATGAGCCTGAAGAGGAATACTAAAACATCGGAAAATATTTTCTCTTATATCCCATTATCTCCGAGTCTCTTCATCCTGCATTTCTGATGCATTCATGGACAATATCATACCACTCCTTTTAATTAATACAATAACTTAATCTGGCCCAGTCAGTATTTCTTCTTTCGATGGATGTGAAGTGGCTTTTTCCAATTCCTTCTCATAGTCTTTCATTTTGAGCTTCCAGCAGCAGTGACAGATATAACCACCTCTCGAATTCCTGTATTGTTTGCCTCTCCTGCAGAAATCACAGATGTATTTGCGCGGGAAAAACCCCCCTTGTACTCTGCATTCTCTGTTTGCTGGTACTGTGTACTGAGTAGGGTGCAATCAAATTCCACTTGCCGGCTTGCTCTGAGCGGATGACGTCGCAGGAATTACATAAGTCATCCTTGGCGGTGAGCCACAGCTTAATTGATTGGCTGTGCGCCAGCATCGCCCTCTGATTGGACGCAGCCACAATTGAGCTTGAGATTTCCCCAGTTTGGACTTGTTACGAAAGCCAGCCCAATCGCTGCCTCCCCTGGCCATCCCGCAAGCCAGCGACATTCGACATTCTCCGACGACGACTGCAGTCGCGCGATATAAGGCAGGCCTCTTTTTTTTCGTTGATTTCTAGCCTTGGCATATTAGATCTGTGCTACTTTTTCTGCTCTGTAAAGCTTTCTTGTCAGTGTTAGTACTTGCCATCTTGCGGTTACGACGTGCATTGCAATCGAACCGTACCTGTCGCTGAGCAAGGGGGAATTAACGGGATTTATATCCCAGGAGGGATCCTAGAGCCATGGCGGAAGGTGAGGCTCTTATCTATTTCTCCCGGGCTTGAATTGTCTTTAGATTCTTGAAACTTCACGCCCACATGGACTAACCCATGATGTTTCTGGGGTGCAAGCTGCAGGACTACATCCAAACCTGAATTTGACACCGGAGGAGAAGCGAGTATTTTATCAACTATTCCAAACCGCGGATAAAACAAATCTGGGCGTTGTTACCGGCGAAGTCGCAGTCTCATTCTTTGAGAAGACCAATCTACCTGCGGAAACGTTGGGTTTGGTAAGACGCCCCGCCGCCCCTTTTACAACGGATTGGGGCGCATGGGAATAAGTCTCGAATTCGCTTTAACAGTTGAGTTCTATATCATAATAGATATGGCAAATTGCAGATAAACAGAACCGCGGCCTTTTAACGCCGTCTGGATTCGGCATCGTCTTGAGACTGATCGGCCATGCTCAAGCAGGTCGTGCTCCGACAGAAGAATTGGCGTATCAGCGTGAGTTTGTCTTCCCGTTATATTGCCTACCTCGACAGCTGACTCTTATCTCGCTGGAATTCGACAGCCGGCCCGCTGCCAAAATTCACTGGCATCACCACAGAGCCACCTCCACCCGCATCAGCAGGCAGTCCTCCCCCAGCGCCTGGTCCTACCAGAGTTCCACCGTTGAATCAAGAAGATATTGCCAAGTTTTCCTCCCTTTTCGAGCGGTCTGATACTCAGAATGGCCTCATCTCAGGTACAGGCTCCAAAACCTGGTAGTCCTAAATTTTAGTTTCCTAATGGGCCTTGAACAGGGGAAACTGCGAAACAAATATTCGAACGCGCGCGGCTCCCAAATGAAATTCTTGGACGCATCTGGAACTTAGCCGATACAAAGCAACGGGGTGCTTTGGATATTACTGAGTTTATCATTGCGATGCACCTTCTGACAGCATTCAAAATGGGGACGATGCGCACTGTTCCACAATCTCTCCCACCGGGACTCTATGATGCGGCTTGTCGGCGAGGGGATGTGCGCACATCAGTTGGCTCACGCTCCTCCGACGTACCTCCCGTACCGGCCATACCAAAGCAATTTACAGGTCCGGCGCCTCATAGAACACAAAGCCCCCTGAACCGACAGCCAATGAGCCCATTATCGGCCCACGGCACCGGTGGCGATTGGCTGATTACCCCTCAAGAGAAGTCGCATTTTGATTCAATATTTAACACTGTGGATAAGCGTAAAGTTGGATTTCTGAGCGGTGACGATGCCGTTGGTTTCTTCGCAAACGCACAATTATCCGAAGAAACTCTAGCACAAATTTGGGATCTCGCCGATATTGATTCCGATGGCCAATTAAGCAAGGATGAGTTCGCAGTAGCAATGTACTTGGTAAGACAACAACGGACTACAAGGGAACCTCTCCCGCAGTCACTACCACCTGCTTTGGTCCCGCCAAGTATGCGACGGCAATCCGCTCCACCTCCACAGCCTATACAGCCACAGACCACTGGTGCTCGATCTGCCGCTGAAGACTTGTTTGGGCTCGATGTGTTTACCGCACCGCTTCAGACGTCCCAGTCAACAGGCGGGTCCAATCCCTCCTTTCAAAGTCCTTCATCTCCCATGCGTCCACCACCTCCAGCTAATGTTTTTAAACCTTTTGTTCCTTCGTCTTCATTTGGCCAAAGTCTCACGCCCCATGCAACTGGATTATCAAGCACGAGTGCGCAGCCACGCTCACCACCTCAACCTTCAGATGACCTGCTTGGAGACGCTGATCCAGAAGAGAGCAAAAAGTTAACTCAAGAGACAACAGAGCTTGCCAACCTTTCAAACCAGGTTAGCACATTGTCAAGAGAGATGGAAAACGTTCAAGCCAAGCGTGGGAATGCAGAGCAGGATTTAGCTCAAACGAACCGACAAAAACGAGACTTTGAGACTCGCCTTGCGCAAGCCAGGGCAATGTACGAGCAAGAAGTCAAGAGTTTCAAAGCGCTCGAAGAACAACTAGCAGCTTCAAAGGCGGAAACGAAAAAGCTACAGCAAGATTTCGCCATGGTTGATGGTAGCCGCCAAGATCTACAAAACCAGTTCAATCAAGTTTCGGCTGCACTGGAGGCAGATCAGCGCGAAAACGCAAATCTGAAAGAGAAGATACGGCTGGTGAATGCTCAAATCAGCCAACTCAAACCTCAGCTCGAAAAAGCGCGATCAGAAGCGCGACAGCAGAAAGGACTGGCTGCGATTAACAAGAAACAGCTTACCACAGTGGAAGGAGAACGAGATCGAATTCAAGAAGAAATAAATTCCATGGGAAAGGAGATTCAAGAGTCCGAACGGCAGACCAGCCCACCACCAGTTACGAGCCCTGCAGCATCCAATGCTAGCCAAGGAACAAATCCATTTTTTAAGCGGACTCCAAGCGCATCAACCGATCAAGCACTGTCTGCGAATCATACTGGTGGCGACGGGCAAAATACTGCTCAAAATATCTTTGATAATATGTTCGGCGCAGCATTTTCCGCCCCTTCAAAAACGTCTCCTCCACCGCCCACTACTTTCAGGACCGAGGCCTCCACCCCGCAACCCCAATCTGCCGATGTTGTGACGGCATCGACTACGCATGAGGGTCAATCCCCGTCCACCACGTTTGATCACGTTCCTGATGCCGTTGAGCCTCCACCTCCTCCACGGTCAAGACAACTAACACCTAACGAACTTCCTATCGAAGGGCATAAAGAATCGCAGTCCACGTCTGTTAAAACTTCTCCGCCAGGAAGCATGTTCGGCGACGATCTACAAGCTGGAGCCGCGGCACCGCCCTCCAACTCAAAAGAGACCTCGCCATTTGAAAGCGGGGACCCTTTCTCTGAAAACGTAAATAAAAAAAATTCCCTAGAAAATGAAGGCTTAGCTCAAAACGAAAAACAGTCTACAATACCGGGCGCATTCCCAGCTGCGACTTCACCGCAAGGACCGGCCAAGAAGGACTTTACCTTCGATGAGCTATTCGCAGGACGCACTCATGAACGCTCCCAGTCACAAAAGGCTCTTGACTTTGAAGAGGCATTTGCAGCAATGAAGAAGGATCCTAAGAAAGATTCTGCCAATGAGGCACAAATGGCAGGCGGTTCTAACGAGTTCCCACCCATCAGGGAGCTAGAGGACGATGACAATAGCACCGATAGTGAAGCTCCAGCTGGTTTTGATGATGACTTTACTCCGGTTTCCCCACCAAGAGGCAATGGTACCAAAGAGATTCAACCGTTCCCTCCAAACGAAGCTACACCACTACCTGGCCCAGACGCTCAACCGTCTCCTCCAGGTTACGATGGAAGCGCATCGAAACAACCAACTGGCACAGCGCCACCTGAGTTTGGAGATCTTCTTCCCGGTAGAACAGACCCAACTGCGCCTGGGGATGCACCCCATTCTATCGATGCGACCACCGGTGCTCCCATCATAGGAGGTGTGTCTAAGGCACCTGCCGACTTTGAAGCAGCCTTTGCGGGTCTGGACCTCACGCCTGCGAAAGAGGCCGAAGATGACGATGACGATGAAGACGATTTCGAGTCACCATTCAACAAGGACCCATCTAATTTCGATATGACTTTCGACTCTCCTGGACCTTCTAAATCGAACGCGGCTGCCGACGCTCCAAATATCAATGAAAGTGCTAACGCAAACTTTTTCAGCTTCAATTCTGCGGGAGGCTCTTCCTCAGGGGATGGAAAACAACCAGTAACCCAGCAGAACGCCTCATCCCTCTCGCAGCAACCCTCTTCGCACGATTGGGATGCATTGTTCTCAGTTCTCGACGAGGCGAAAGGACAAGGGGGTGCAGGAAAGCCAGAAGCGAATTTTTCAACATCTGCACCACCTACGTCCACGGAGCCTTCGCAAGCGACTGTGACGGCAACAGCAAGTCCTACCGGCCAATCCAAGCAACCTGGGTGGGCCTTGAATGCAGATTCGGGCGAAGATGACTTGATATTACAGCGGTTGACTTCCATGGGCTATCCCCGGGACGAGTCGTTAGCGGCGCTCGAAAAGTTTGATTATAATCTTGACAAGGTTAGTTGTCTTATCAGATAGTTTTGATCAATGGAGGTTGCACGGAGCACTAACCTGGTATGATGTAGGCGGCTGATTTCTTGGCGTCAAAGTCGTGACCCCCACCCGTTGCTTGCCCGCCATGAGGCCCTGTAGTCAAACTTGCGAATGATCAATATACTAGAAGCTAGACTCCACTTCAACCACTTTATACCCCCCTGAGTGCGATCTTCAAGCAGGGAGGCATCAATAGAGGATCGTATCCTCTGAGACCTCTTCCCACTCGCACCCCCTTTTTTTCCTCTTTCTATGCATTTAAAGTTGATTTGAGCTATTGAAATCGTTGGAGTGCAAATTTCTTTTTCTTTTGATTATGTGGTATACTCTCATTTGCATATCGATTCCCTTAAGATGACTTGCATGGCTTTAATAATATTTGTATATGTATATAACATAACTCAGCTAATTGAAATTTCTATATCCAATTTTTACTTGTCGTATTATACATGCATACGGCATAGCTGCAAGCGAGAGATATAGAAGAAGTTCGTAAACCATTGGCTGTTGAAAATGGGGGAATGGCACGATAATACGGAGTACTATCCATGCAGTTCAATTTGGCCAGGAAGCCGCTCGTGGTGGCGTCAGCTTCGCCACCTTGGTGGGCATGAATAATTGGACACATGTGTGATGCTGGTCCGGACTCGAGATAGTAGAAGGTACTTTGAGGAAACTTGTTTAACTCATTTCCAAAGGAGGACTCATTAGTTATGCGGTTGTATTAGGGACATACATACAGCGCTCCATAGAAATATTTTTGGGTATAGAGCAATCACAATAAAGCCATAGGAGAAAAAAGGGCAAGAGCAAAGAAATGGTACCGAAGTTAAGTTATTGGATAAAGTAAATGGACGCATTAGGTAGGAGATAGTATTATGTACGTTTGGATATTCATAGCCATCCAAAAAAAAAAAAAAAAAAGTTGAGTTATTCAGAAAATTGGGTGCGGGAGGAACTTAAACTTCGGGTTGAATTCTGATTCGTTCTCTTTTTTCCTTTCTAGATACTCGGCTGCGGTACATTTTCATTCGGCTTTGGTGTTCCACGGTTTCGAACGACGGGAAGAACCGCGAGAGCAAGAGTAGCGACAAACAGAACCCTATTTGAAGAAAGTGCAATCAGTATTGAGAAGCATAGTCGTGGCTAGGATATATGAGCCCGAACGCACCACTCGAAGGAGCCGAAAACAGTTGCGGCCTGGAGAACACGGCACGCGTTGAAAGTGGTGCAGAATCTGGGAGGGGGAAGTTTGGAGCCTAGAGCAATGAAGCCTGCGAACCAGAAAATCATGGTTACGCCATCAACGCCAATTATCGCGAAGGGATGCGCGGCTACGGGAGCGTATGTAGGAGCGAGAAGCATGTAGGGAACAACGATGAAAGCTGTCCATAGACCGCAGAAGAGCAGGAAGTTGGAGGACTCCAAGGACCCTTCGGAAGCAACTGCGTTCGAGAAACTTGTTAGTTCTATAGAGGCTGTTTTCCACATATTGTACACCGTATTGTGTTAACACTTGTTGTCAGAACAGGTTAGACTGACTATATGCAGTGAGACCAAGGACAATGATGCCGAATAAGGCCTGGACGCCGCGAATGGCGAGTGAAATGGGGTTGCGCTCCATGTCTTGTAGAGGAAGGATAGGTTTAGGTGTTGTCGATATACTGGAGTACTCCTTGAGGTATGGAATATGGCTCTGCAGACTCTATTAGTCACTGCACTTATCACATAGAGAGCCAGAACCGACAGATATGTATGAATGGCGTGAAAGAGCAGAAGAGGGGCAAACCAGCGGGGAAGAAGAAAATACGAAAGAACATGTGATCGAGGCCTGATGATATCCCGACTTACCTTTCGAGTGCTACGAGTTAGTTGCTTTCTCGGGTGGCTGATGGGCGAGAAGTAGCAGTATATATTATCCTTGTGGTGGTCTGAGGAGTGTTTGAGAATGACACTCCCAGATATATGCCAATAATGCTGTAAATAACTGCCTCCAGCACAAAGCAGCGGTGGAGGGCGTAAATATATCAACGAAAATTCCTTTTTTTTTTTTTTTTGTTTAATTAGCCGCTTTCTAAATGGCCTAGGTCACTTGACAACAAAAGCAATAGTCTGGAAAAGTTTCGAGCAAGCAACCACAGAAAAATGAGCAGTGCCTGGAACAATGACGTGTGTCGACGTGGATGGTGCCTGTTGGGAGAGCTTGAAGCTTGACAGCGATAATCACCTCCAGACCAGAGCCAGGTCAACGCGGTAGAGTAATATGAATATACAGAATAAAAAAAAATCAACCCCTTCATGGCCTTTTCTCCCTGGAAATACACCAGGAACACCCTCCACCCGTCGCGATCTCTGCTCGTAAAACCGACTTCGACAGCAGAAATTCAGCTGCAGACACGGCACCAGCCCCACTCGCGCTGGCCCATGTGGCGCATGCCTGGAGGGCGTAAGATGGGCTGTCCCTGTCTTACGGGACAGAACAGTGGCGCGTCTTTGCCTTACACGAACGATAATCTCCTTTCTCTGGATCCAGCCAATTGAGAGTGACACCACGATGATACTTCCCCGCAATCGGTACATTAGCGCAAGCCCGATACAGGCATCCCTCCTGCTAAGACAACAGTACCGATACAGGCCTTACGGAGGACTCAGCGACCAGTCCCGCAAACAAGCCACAACGCAGGGCCAGCCTCATGACGTCGCCGTTCGTGGCGCTCGCAGGCCGTCCACTCGAAGCGCGAGAGGTATCGCCGCGTCGGCCGTTTGCCGCTGTGGGTCCCGTTCCAAGAGCGTGAATTATCGTGAACCAGACTTCTCCCGGCTATTATTCACTTGAGATTGGGTTTCATGTCCCGGGTGGGGTTCTCTGGAATCAGCCCTTCGCGAGGCCCCGTGTGGACGCCCAAATTACTCGAAATTTTTCGGTGAGAAATCACTCCAGCGCCAGGCTAAGTTTAGAAATCCTCCAAAAGCTCTCTCGGCTCCTCGTCCTCCCTCATTGGTGTGACCCGGGATTTGGAAAACGCCGTCCTCGTGTTCCCGGCGGCTCTCACAAAAACTGACTGGACTTTACGAAGAGCAAGTGCTGCCACTCATCCATCAGGAGGAAGCGCTGGGAACTCCATACCCCTTGCGCTTTATACCGAGCCAGGCAGGGAACTTCAAAGGGCCCCTTCAGCTCTCGGGTGTCCATCAGGATCTTTTTTCATCCACACAAATCTCTTCCGCCAAGGTATTCAGAAACAAGAAGAGATGAGGATCAGCCAATGATGCTGGTCCTTCTCGTCAAGCTAAGCTTTGTGAACGGCTCCACTCTCGTATTATCAACTCGAGCGTTCCCGGCCTTTTTTTCTTGAGCTGATGAGAAGAGAAAGTTCGTTGAGGCAGCTCCAATAAAGCGTTTCGCGCCGGACAACCACATTCTTCCCTGACTGAAGAGAAATTCGATTCTTACAGGGAACGTTGAAATGAGCAAAAGTTCTTTGACCGGGGATCGTACCTCACAGATTATTCATATGTCCAATTGTGGCTCGAGATTTTTTTGTTTTTATGTATTTTGGTCCGGCAGTCCTCCGTCCTCAGTGCAGAGTGTCTGCAAAGAAATGGATAAAGGACTCGAGCCGAAGTCAGGATTCAGGATCTGATGTCAATGATTGACAACAGACTCTCTTCCCCCCCACAAACAATATATATACGGAGTATATATAAAATAAAAATAAAAATAAAATAACAACATGAGTGCTGACGCTTCTCAAAAAATTCCCAGGAGCCCTAACAGATAATCGAGCTCCGTTCCCGAGCACAAGGAGCCTACATAACCTGCGTACGTCCTTTCTCATTCCCTTATCCACCCTGAACAGGCTCTGGGCAATGAATGAAGAAGGAAGACAAAGGACACTGGATCCATCAAATATATCCCCATAGGACTGGTATTCTCCAAGGCTTGTTAAAATTTCTGAGGTCGAGAAAAGGCAGTCTAGCCAATGGGGAAGGGACTCGATTTCGCTTTCATCTGTATTTCATCAACACCTTGTTGATGCGACGACCATGCTTGTTTCAACATCCGCAAGTCCATATAGCACAGGATTTGGCGGAAACCAGCCTCGGAAGCGGTACACTGCAAGGCCTCTTTTATCATCCGAACAGGCTAGCGCGGCGAGAAGCATTAAATGTGTTGGGCAAAATATCTGATCATCGAAGCACGGGACGAGATTCGGCACAGTCTGCAAGACATCGAAGTCCCAGTGGTCCCGGGCCCCTGCAGCCGTGATAGGCTCCGAGCACGAATGCAACCCCTCTAATATGTATGTCGATCTTGGGATACGAGTGTTTGGCGAACTGCCGTGCAGATGAATTTTTTTTTTAAAGAGCATATGTATGCGAGCGGCCGTTGAACGATGGGTGACTTTTATTGTTTCTCATTCCAGAGCACAACCTAAGCTTGCTTGGTTGAGGGCTACGTCAAAACCCAACGTTGATGGTGCAATACATATAGGTAGTTACATGCGCCATCGCGCAGGGGCCGATTTTACGAATTCGACATCGTGGATCGTTTTTCGCAGCACTTGAACCCCAAAAATACACCAGTTGAATTGCTTATTAGCAGTCTTGTTAGCTCACGGGATTAAAAAAAAAGAAAGAAAGTGTGCAGTGTCACTCGCTGAAGTCGTTCCAGTTTAAAATTAACTTCGATCACGCCATCAGAGCCATATCTTAGGCTCTCTATTTCTCCCCACGATAGTCCGGGTTAACCAGCGTTGATCTAAACCAGGACAATTATATAAGTAACGTGTGCGACCGCTTGCGACTCTTTCTGCAGTAGATTTTTATTTTGTCAATTCCCTGTCTTATTCCCCCTCCCCTCGATTGGCGTCAGCGCAAAAGCCTACCCCGCCAACCTCATTGTGTGCCAGACGGATACCCTCATAGTTTTGACATACTCCCTTAGAGTAAAAATCTTTTGCATTGCAAATTCTTCACAATGGCTTCCGACCAGTCTTCCCACAAATTCGAGACGCTGCAATTGCACGCCGGGTGAGCCTGCATTGCCCCGCGTCCTTCAGAGCCACCCCGCTAAGTCGTTCGCTAGCCAGGAACCCGATCCCACGACGAACGCCCGTGCAGTGCCAATTTATGCCACTACTGTTAGTTTCCTGCGCAATGTTTGAATCAACAGTAGGAGTACCTGAGAGAGTTCTAACAGATGGCTTTTCTTAGTCCTTTACCTTCAATGACTCCGCTCATGGCGCTAGACTCTTCGGTCTTAAAGAATTCGGCAACATCTACAGCCGTATTATGAACGTATGTGAATGCCTTGTTCTTCAATTTGTATCCTTTCAGCGCCCTTTTCCGCAACGTGCAGACGCTAATTGGGCCATTATCTCCCGTAGCCAACTGTCGATGTCTTCGAAAAGCGAATCGCGGCCCTTGAAGGCGGTGTTGCAGCCGTCGCGGCTTCGTCCGGCCAGGCTGCTCAATTCATGGCAATTGCTGCTCTAGCCCACCAGGGTGACAACATCGTTTCTACCACGAATCTCTACGGCGGTACCTATAACCAGTTCAAGGTCATGCTCCCACGCTTGGGAATTCAGACCAAATTCGTAAACGGTGACAAGCCAGAGGACATTTCTGCTGCGATTGACGACCGCACAAAGGCAGTTTATATCGAGACCATCGGTAACCCACGCTACAATGTCCCTGACTTTGAAGCTATTGCCAAAGTTGCCCATGAGAAGGGTGTGCCTTTAATCGTATGTAAACGGCTGTAGCAGCGAGAACATCGCGATGTAACGCCAGTGCTGACTATATGATAGGTTGACAACACATTCGGTGCGGGTGGTTATTTCTGCCAGCCCATCAAGCACGGCGCCGACATCGTCGTTCACAGTGCCACCAAATGGATTGGTGGCCATGGAACCACCATTGCAGGTGTTGTCATTGACAGCGGCAAGTTCGACTGGGGCAAGCATGGCAAGCGATTCCCACAATTTATCGAGCCATCCGAGGGGTACCATGGCCTGAAGTTCTGGGAGACATTCGGCTCGATCGCTTACGCTATTCGTGTGCGTGTTGAGATCCTTAGAGATTTGGGCGCTGCCTTGAACCCATTCGGCGCCCAGCAAATTCTTCTCGGTATAGAGACGTTGAGCTTGAGAGGCGAGCGACATGCTAGTAACGCAATTGCGCTTGCTCGCTGGCTGGAGAAGAACGAGAACGTTGCCTGGGTCTCATATCCTGGTCTCGAAAGCCACCCAAGCCACGAAACTGCGAAGAAGTACCTCAAACGTGGCTTTGGTGGCGTGCTATCATTCGGTGTTAAGGGAGGCGCTGCAGCAGGTAGCGAGGTTGTCGATAACTTTAAGTTGATTTCAAACCTTGCCAAGTGAGTTTACATCCTGTCCAACCCTTGTAAGAGGCGGCTCGAGAATGCTGATAGATCTTCTACGCAGTGTCGGTGATTCCAAGACCCTCGCCATCCACCCGTGGTCAACAACCCACGAGCAGTTGACTGAGGAAGAAAGAATCGCCTCTGGTGTCACCGAAGATGCCATTCGTCTTTCAGTCGGCACTGAGCATATTGACGACATCATCGCTGACTTTGAACAGTCATTTGCCGTGGCTGCCGATTCCAGTAAGAAGGCTCTTCCGGACCGCACCGTTGCTAACAACTGATCGGGGATCAGCTGTTTAAAAGATTCTCGTACATGAAAACGGCGTTCCTAGAACCAACAACCAATTATTTTTTTTCTTCCGCGGAGAATACATAACCGCTGGGCCCTTGGGAAGTCCGATGACAACTTTCCGCGGGAACGGAAGAACCCGTTATGCTACATATCATGAGAAGCGTTAAATTTTTCGGGGAGGATGATACACCTTTAATGTCCTTTTGAATATAAGAATACTCCATGCATAGTGGTGATATAGTTAACAAGTGAAACAGCCAATATGTGGTGAACAATGATTTCTCTGTCTTCTAGCTCACACATTCATGGATTTGCTGATGTTTGAGCATTTCTCTCCCCTAAACAATATCAAAATGCACCAGATACATCCATTAAAGGGCAATATGGGCATTGGATCTGTCTACATTATTGTTCGGCTGCCACAAGTCTTGATGGAAAACTGCTGTGGTAGAGCCCACTGTATAAGCCTTGGGTTAGAAGCAAAGAAGTTTTGTCTTCCAGGTTCCTTCCGCCTGAAGTCACGATGGGCTGAGAGCGTACTGTGGCATGGTTGCGGCGGCATAACTGTTAACCGATCGAGTGCCACAGGCGGATTTCATGGGACATGGAGCTTCCTCTCTGCCTCATCCCTCCAGATTTAATGGTCTATAACCCTTCCAGTGACCGCGCATATATCCCTTTTTGCGTTGGAATATTTCTCGAAAGTGCTTCCATGTCTCTTTTTCGGCCCTCAATAAATGCACCGGAAAATTTTTCCATGAAGGCCCAGGCAATTATCAAGATGCATGATGGGGGCGTCTTTCCAAAGTTTGCACAATTGAGAAGCGTCTCAATGGATGGGAAATGCCTGAATGATACTATAACACCAGACTTCGTATCCGTCTTTCAAGGTTGGGAATAGCGGGTATCTTCTGTGGTATTTCCGAAGTGTGCAGGGGAAAAAGATGCTGCTACAGCGTGTGGACAGACAGATGCTTCGTTCCGGGCACCAATCATTGCGTTCGAGGGACATGGCTACTGGGTTATTCTTCGACTTCTTTTTTCGGGAGAAAGCCGCGATAAGTGCCCATAAGGTAAGGAGTTCTGCCGAGGATGTCTGTCATTCAGTAGGTATCCAGCAGACACTCCATAACTAGCTAGGTATGTATGCCAGTGTATTGTTCACCTGGCGTGCCCTTCTCGCGCATGTAGTGGCGGCGCCGGACGAACCGAGGCACAAAGTCCTATGAAGGTCGTTGGTTTCGGGTTTCCGAACGGACCAATCAGGATGTTGTAAATCGGATTAATCAGCGAAAAAAAGGTATTAGCAGCATGCATTTTAGACTGGCATCACATGCCAGGCAGCCAGCAACACCCAGTACCAGAAGGTATCTTTTCACAGAAGCTCGCGGAAAAGGTACAAAAATGGCGCCTATCGACAGGCGTCGCTGTTTGCTCGGGTGGCTTTGTCGCCCTGGCGCTAAACCCTATCCAACCGGCACCGACCAGTTGCGATGAAAGCTGAACCGAGCATCACGCTCACCACATGTCGAGCAGCCTGGCGCTCCATATTTTCTTCTTTTTTGTCAACCCCCCTCTCCGCCTCCTTTTCCTTCTCTGTAAATAATCTCCCCGATATTCATATGTTTGGTCTTGTCCAGAAAACTTAACCCACACTTTCGTCTTCCCTACAGGGCTTTCTTGCGTTGTTCGCCTATCGGACATTCCTTTCGGCTGCACTGCGCCCGACGCTATCCTATTCACTTTTTTCTTTTCTTTTATTAGAACATTTGCCCGGTGAGCGGGATACTTAATTATCGGGGAAGAAGCGGGAATCGACGACCCCGGAGGTTTTTACATCTAATAGACAGGTAATAGGTGTGTAACTCCGACTTTCCATTCGATCCGCTTCTCCCCGACCATTTCCATTTCGAGCTCCATCATATAATGGCCAGCTGTCTCTAACCTGTCTGCTCATAAGAATCAAAGCCGACCGATTTAACGTGACCATTACATAGAAACTTCCAACAATGTTTTCATCTTCCGACCCGCCGTTTAAGACCCGGGCGATTGAATTCGCCAAACCGGGGCCCAAGGGCACTCCGGACTCCGTCCCCATTCCTGGTTCCGAACAGCCAGGTCGTTCACAGGTTTACAGACATTGGAAGATCGGAAATGGCGAATTGATGAAGACTCTCGACCCGAAGGTACGTCAGACGGGGCAAGGCTGAAATACCTTGAATCGTTCGTTTTGTCGGGCAAGGCTACCGGGGATCGCGCAAAGTAGCATGGATAATAATGGCTGTTTTATGAATGAACGCTAATTGAACGTACCTCTTTAGGTCCGTACCGGCCATGACATGTTCGAAAGCACCGGTACGCACTGACCGTATTCCATGATGCAAACAAACCAGAGTCCCGCGGATTTGGCTAACTTCTGTTTCCAGCCATTCGTCAGCCCAAAAAACCGTGTTTAGGTTGGCGTCCATGGGATCCCGTTAAAAAGAACTTTGGTCCCTATGTGTGGATGGATTATGGAACAGTTCAGACACGACGTGCCGCTATTGGTGTTGGATTGATTGAATTACACCGCCAGATCGGTATCCATGACCGGACCTTCGGTGTTGGCCTTTGGTGCCAGAATAGGCCTGAGTGGCAACTCGTTGGTGAGTGCAACTATTTGGCTGGTAGCCACGAAAGCTCCAAACCTGTGAGACTAACTTGAACAGACTTGGCTTGTATGTCGCAATCGCTATTCTCGGTTTCACTCTATGAGACCCTGGGCCCTGAAGCCACCGAATTTATTGTCAAGAATGCCGAATTGGCCTGTGTTGTCGCTTCGCTTCCGCATCTTCCAACGTTGCTTAGGCTGAAACCCAAACTCGCGTGTTTGAAAATGATCGTCTGTCTCGACCCATTAGATTCGAACGACCAGGCAGGCCATTCAAAACGCGACATTCTTGCACCTATTGCTGCTGAGGTCGGCGTAACAATTTATACCCTGGATGAAGTTGAGAAGCTCGGGGCTTCTCTCAATCGCCCCTACAACCCGCCTTCGCCTGATGATATTATTACTATTAACTACACTTCCGGCACCACCGGTACGCCAAAGGGTGTTGTTCTCACCCATGCAAACGCAGTTGCGGCTGCGACCACGTCTTTGGCAACTGTATTGCAGTCCCCTGATGACGTTGCATGCTCGTATCTTCCCCTAGCCCACATTTACGGAAGAATGGTTGAGCAAACGATGCTTTGGGCTGGTGGTAGGATCGGCTACTTCCATGGTAACATCTTGGAGCTTGTCGATGACTTTAAGCTACTGAGACCTACCGCTCTCGCATCTGTCCCGCGTCTATATGGCCGCTTTGGTGGCGCTATTCGTGCAGCTACAGTGGAACAGCCTGGATTCAAGGGGGCCTTATCCCGCCATGTCGTTTCCGCGAAAACTGCAAATCTGGTTGGAGTAAAACCAGAGAATGCAACTGTGAAGCATGCTCTGTACGATAGGATCTGGAGCAAGAAGGTTGCCGCCGGACTTGGCTTTGACCGTATGAGATATATGGTATCAGGTTCTGCGCCGCTCGATAGCTCACTCCACCAGTTTTTGCGTCTTGCTTTCGCGACTACTATCGTCCAGGGTTACGGATTGACTGAAAGTTTTGCGGTTGCGTTGTGCCAGTCGCCAAATGATTTGTCTGCGGGTCACTGCGGAGGTGTCTCCCCCGTTGTTGAAGCTTGCTTGATGTCGCTTCCAGATATGGATTATTCCGTTGATGACAAGCCATATCCACGTGGCGAGTTGCTTCTTCGTGGTAACTCAATCTTTAGAGAATACTATAAGAATCCCGAAGAAACCGAGAAGGCGATGACAGAGGACGGATGGTTCCGAACTGGTGATGTGTGCATGGTTGACGAGCTCGGCCGCTTCACTATCATCGACCGCCGTAAGAACCTTCTCAAGCTCGCTCAGGGAGAATATGTGTCCCCTGAGCGCATTGAAGGTATCTATCAGAGCGCGTGCCCGTACCTTGGACAAGCCTTTGTTCATGGTGACGGTATTCAGACACATCTTGTTGCTATTTTCGGCATTCAACCCGATATTTTTGCCTCTTTTGCGGGCAAGGTTTTGAAGAAAACCTTCTCTCCTACGGACTTGGACGCTCTTCGTGAAGCTAGCAAAGATCCAAAGGTCGTCGACGCAGTGAGGAGAGATCTCGACCGTGCAGGCAAGAAATATAAACTCGCAGGATTCGAAAGAGTGAAGAATTTGGCACTGTTCCATGAGCCATTCTCGATTGATAATGGCCTGTTGACCCCCACGTACGTATTTTTCTCTTGTCCTGTGAATGATTTGATTTATCGGGCTAACATCTTTTCAGGTTAAAACTCAAGCGTCCTCAAGCCGTCAAGGCCTTTAGAGATGTCCTGGATGAGCTCTATGCTACGGCCCCCGGCAATGGAGTTAACGAGAACGATGTCCTTCGATCCAAATTGTAGGACATCTGTTTTTATTACATTTTTTGCTTCTGTACCTTCACCTTGTGTATATAGTATATCTCGATGTTGGCAATTTCCTTTTTTTTTTTTTCTTTCTTTCTTGCAAAGCATGTTGGATATTTGCTTTGCACCCATGAAACATATATATTTAAGGATACCGCTACTTCTTTTGTTTTGTCTTCAAGTGTGGTTCATCATTTTATTCACACTGGAGTTGGGATACAAATGCCGGTTGTTGAATATAAATGCAAAAGTTCACTCGATAATGTGAATGTGGTGTAATTGGAGTGTACCAGCATATCAGCTGTGCAACCCTCCCTCCGACAAAAAAGTCTGGACAACAGCACACTCATTTGATCATCACAATAAGCTCAACTTATCCTGAATTTCTCTTCCTACCGTTGCTTCCAACAGAAAGCAAGGGGCACGCCGATTACATAAGCAGCTAATATCTCTCCCAGTCGAGTGGCCCTAACTGCCACTCCGAAGGGCTGCAAAAGCAAAGGCGTGCATTGGAACAGGGGAAGCTGCATTCCCTATGCGAAGTCATAATCATGCGTCCTTCAAATCTCTATTCCTATATTCTAGCGCTCTCTTCACTCGTCCTTCCCATTTCCACGGCGTTCAGCCTTACGATCTCAATTCCGTCATCAAACCTCCTCCCGAATCCAAATGCGCTCCCAGCGTCAACCCACGCGACTCTAACCACCCTCGCGCCCAAACAGACGTTACTGAAAGCGCCGTTATCCCGGTCTTCGTCCTTTACCTTCCGTGAACTTCGACCAGACTCTGAATCCTCTTCGCCTTCAGGGGACGTGACCTCATATCTCCTGGACATCCACTGCCGCGATTATATATTTGCACCTTACCGCGTCGATGTTGGAGCTGATGGGAACGTGATTGGAGTGTGGGAGACGTACCGGGGAAATTCATGGGATAACAAGGGAGCGGAAAAGGCTGTAGGGACGGGATCGGGCCCGGTTCACGTGGAAGCCAAAGTGTTAGGCAAACGGGAGTTCTACGAGGAACGGCCAAAGTGTAGGTTACCAGCCTCCATTGTTCGGTTCTACATCGAGGAAACCTATCCGCTAACATAAGAGCGATTGGGGTTTAGTCTCTCCGCTCAGCTTGTTCAAGAATCCAATGATTCTTCTCGCTGTGGTGGCTCTGGCGATTACAGTTGGAATGCCTTATCTTGTCGAGAACAGTAGGTTTTGCTCTTCATTATTCTTCTTCGTAGAAGAACTCGTTGCAGTTGAGGGTTTGGGGAGTGCTAATAATTTTGTCCCGTCTTAGTGGATCCTGAGACGCGCGAAGAGTGGGAGAGACAACGCGCTGCCGGTGTACTACCTGGGAGCGGGTCAAGAAAGGCACCTGCTTCTAACTTTGACCTTGCAGGATGGATGGCAGGAACAAGTCCTGGGCCAATAGAGGCGGCCAAAGCAGCCAGTGCTAGCGCGAGAGAAGGTGACAGTGGTCAGTCGACTGTAAGGAGAAGATGACAAGAGATGGAACATTGTTACTCTCCAGAGTTGGGTTTCTGCTTGATAGTTATGCAGTGCGACATTGGAGCCGATGATACACTATTTTCGGCAAACACATGATACTTCCCTACGTCGTCGGGAGCTTCCACGTTTCCCATTCCGCTGAAATGTTGCTGCGAGGGCCATGCTATGGCTGTTGCCGGCTCCCCCCTTTCGCGTCTAGCCCGGCCAGAACAACCGCCAAGCAATTACACGTGACCACGACTGAAGGCGGCGCGCCACGAATCGGACAGTGGCTGAGCAAGCGCGGCGCAATGAACACTTACATAACGTCACATCCTCGGCCCTCAGCTCGATCTGTGCATCGCATCTCGTCTTCATTGTTATCATCATCATCATCACCTGTCTGTTATATAAAGTCATCTCCAAAGGCGCCTAGTATAGAAAATTACAGATACAAGGCTTCCTACTAAATTTCATTTTTGGCTGTTTTTCTAACAAAGTAGCTACCTCTGCTGATGTCGTTTGCTCCTCCATCTGGTCCTCCTCCGCCCCGCGTTCCTGAGGGCTGGAAGGCAGAGTACCATGATGGGTATAAAGAATGGTAAGCACCTGAGCTATTACTGTTTGTATTTATGTTTGTGGCAGCTTTTTCTAATATTGTCAATATATTTAGGTATTATGTTGATTTGAGCACCGGGATTTCCCAATGGAATCCTCCGCCGACGGAGGCCCTTGCTCCACATCCTTCCCACCCTCCTACCAGTCCATCTTCTCCTCCACCATCATATGAAGCTTCAGGTCCACCTTCGGCGGTGGGCGCGGTTGGTTCTGGTCCAGATCAGAAGATAGGACCACACGCAACGCAATCAGCGCTTGGTTCGAACAATCCGTACAAATCCCAAATTTCCGATAATTCGAGCACAATGCTTCCGGGATCGCCTGTCGTGCCAGATACAAAAGGCCCGGTAAAGTCACCGGATCCAAAAAAGATGATTGATGAGGATGCAAGGCTTGCCGCACAGCTTCAAGAAGAAGAAAATGAGCGAGCCAGGCAACAAGGATATGATTGCGTCCTTGAGGCGAACAACACAGAACCAAACTCAAGGGCTTCGAATCCCTCTGCTAACTATAGCACCATCGCCGCGGCTTCATCAACATTGCCAAGCCAGCTGCAGACTCGTGCAAAAGGAGGCTTCTTCGGAAAATTACTGGACAAAGCCAGGCAGCATGCACCATCTTCATCCCGGCCGCAGCAGCCAAGCTACTACCCTACCCCAGCACAGCAGCAACCACAGTATGGTTACGCACCTCAACAACAGCCATACGGTGGCTACCCGCCCCAAGGTGCAGGGGGTTATCACGCACCTCCATACTCACCGTACCAAAATCCCTATGGACAGCCTGGCATGCAACCTGGCAGGATGGCTGGCGGGCGTGGTGGCAGCGGGATGGGAATGGCAGGTGCTGCGGCTTTGGGTCTGGGCGGTGGATTATTGGGTGGTGCACTGTTGGCCAATGCGTTGGATAAAGACCATGGGGACGGGTACCAGGATGGTTTTGCCGATGGAGGTGATTTCGGCGGGTTTGATTGATCAGTTGCCATATAATTAACTTTGATGCTACGGTGTCGGTGTTCAGGGTCGCATCTCTTGGGAGTTTGGGTGGTTATCCCATAATGCGCGACGCTGATGTCGCGATGCGGAATAAATGATTGCGCTCCAGGAGTCTGGTTAGGCGGGCTAATTAGTGGTGTTCTGCACTAACAACCCTATGTGGTGACTGGGTCTTCACTCCTTGACTTTTTGTTTATTCAACTTGTCTTTCTTGCCTACGTGCGAGGTGTAGCATATTGGTTGTATCTCAACTACTAGTTTTAGATTTTATGCCAATCCGGCTGAGCAGGCTTTATGTTGAGGAAATAGTAGGGCTTAAGACTTCAATATTGATCAATATTTTTGCGATATGGAGCAGGTCAAATAATCAAAATGATAGAGTTATGAATTTCACACTATGTATTATCTACAGAGTACTCCGTACTCTCTACTCTGTATGGACCGTGGCTACTCCGTACTATGATGGTCATCTAGTTGCTACCCCCACCATCCCAGAGTATCATAGTAGCTACCTGAGGAGCCGAGTACGGAGTAACCCATACTTAGTCCAATTTGAACAGCCTATTCAATAAGTAGCCAACTCATTTCTAAGCTTATGTCCTGATATCAGTAGCTATGGCTTTAGGGAAGAAGCCAGGACTTAGGGCTCGCAGTTAGGCTGCCGACTTCTACTCTTTGTGCGGTATGAACCTGTACTTGAAGCTATTGTGGAGCATGATAGGCACCAAGTTAATTAAAGGCGTATTCTGTATTTCCGAGGCCAGCCTAACCACAACCAGTTAGTCGACTTATTAGGCCAACTCCGCGCTAACCATGCTAGGCTAGTAAGTCCTACAGAGCGATATAGAGCGAGGTCTTTTGTTTCCATCCTGTACTCCGTAAAGTTGAGGGGATCCTTCCTTTGGCAGTTAACTAACGCCGCCCACTCTATTCTCTCGTTTCCCACAGAATATATAACCTATCTTTTGCGGCATCTTTAATATTTTTTTGTGTTCTGAACTATGAGCGATTAATTTATATCCAAGCATTTTATAGTCAACATGGCGAACTCCTCCCTTGACGAGACTGTCAAGAAGTATCCAATTGAATATAATTTCCTTCAGCCAATATTGGGTCGCCTTCAGCACGCCGAGCAAGCGTACAGGCCTGGCGGGCCAGGAAATGAAGATTGTCGAATGGGTGTTCTAAAGTTGCTTTATATTTTACAAGGGCAGGATGCAGCATTCAATCTTCACTTGAAAACAAGTGACCAAAGCGTGGCGTCCAAATTGGCTGGCTTATTTCGGCACGTTGAAGCTAACTTCAACTACAATCATTATCGCCCACTTGTCCGACTCATCCTTGAGAAAGCACCTGATACAGATATCTGGAAAGCAGTCCTTGATCTTATCAACACTGTCTCTCATGAAACCCCCCTGTCAAGCATTCCCTTCTTGTTTGATGCTACACCAGTAAGATTCACATCATCATTACAGAAAGGACCTGAGCAGACATGTCTGCTGATAAAAGAGAGAATATTTGAAGAGACTTATAAGTGTATCTTTCAAGACATAAAGAGCTTCTTCATCAAATATTTTGAAGAAAAGAATTGGAGCACCAGAGTGAATGCTATCTGTTAATATATTCTGAAATCCAGCAGTAACAGTGAATGAATCAAGTTTCCTGATCTTTCAGTACAAAGTACTGTTCTTGACTGGTAGCTCTAATTCCAGAATAACTTTCTCTCAGACACATGTGGTGTCTACTTCTCAATAATAAGCAAGAAGAATCTTATTAGCTCAGAGACAGAGCAACAGATTGATCTTTCGCTAAAGACTCAAGTTAATAATAATTTAGAAAAGAAATATAACTGGAAGAATATCTGTATAATAGATAAATTAAAGAAGTCATTAGACAAGATCCAGATAAAGAGCACACTGCTTCAGCTTGCATGCTATATATGGAAAGTGTTTATTACCCCTTCGAGAAATTAGTAGGTGGAAGATTTTGCTGTTTCGCTCGGTGGGTTGTTTCGCTCGGTGGTGGATTACGTTAAAAGAGAGCCACTGCGCGAACCTCTTAATAAAGGCCAGTGGCAATCTTGTCTACCGTCATACACAGTTGCTAGAAGAATATAAGACTTTACCTTCATGTATTTCTTTCCACATACAATTCCTACTAGAGATCCATTGCCACACTGATCTGCGAAGTATGATTCTCACAGAAAGGTGATATCACTCCTATTGTTTAGGCCAAACCTAAACCCTAATATCTGCTGGTTTTGGCCACGCCAAAGGTAAAAGATAGGCTAATCTCACCAACTGCTAAGTTACTCGGAAGTGTTTTTATTTCAACTTGAGAGTCCAGAGCTACTTATGACCTACATAGTAGCAGTTAAGAACTCAAGAATCACCAAAAAAGTCCTGCTATTCAAAGAAGTAACACCATGATGACATCATCCATCTCTCTAGTTAAGAATTTCCTACTAAAGAGAAGGATTTCTGCGTAAGATTTAGAATAAATGGGGATAAACCAAGCAGGACCATCAAGCAATGCAGCAAACATCAATGAAGATTGACGAAATGGCGACTCGAGAACGTAACAGTGAGAAGACGCAGGCTGGGAGCATTCAGCCCATAACCGAAGCACTCTTGAATCATAAACTCGTTATTGTCACAGGTGCAGGGGTTACACTCAATGCCACTCAAGAAAACTCCGGAGAACACTTGGAAAAATTGACTTGGAGTGGATTGATTAGACATGGGCTCAGATACTTGTCCGAATTGCCCTTAATTACTGGCCCAGACAAGGACAGAATCACAAGCGCAAATGCTTTACTGGAAATCAACTCTGCTGGCAGTTCAATGGATGCGATAAATATTTTGAAGGGTCTAATGACTGATTACAATGAGCTAGCCTCATGGCTGACAAATATTTTCTCGGGCTTGAAAGTTCATCAGCACGCGATATTGGATGTGCTGAAAGATTTGCATAAAGAGGGGGCTGTACTCCTCACTACAAATTACGACCATATTTTGGACAATCATGGCGAAAAACTCCGATCGATCTCTCCCTCTGACAATCCCAATGACATCAGCAGATTTAAAAGTGGTCACTTAGATGGCATCTTCCATTTACATGGAAGCTATGACCGGCCACAAGATGTCATCTTAAACACCACCGACTACATTCGCGTTGTGAATTCTGAAGTAAAGTATATGCTTGAAAAGTTCTTGATGTTCGACACGGTTCTCTTCGTCGGCTGCGGGGCTGGCCTTAATGATCCAAATTTTGGACCTCTTCTAAACTGGGTCAGGGAATATCAGAAGAATATCCCTGAAAAACACTTCACATTGGTTAAAAAAGGGGACATCTCCGACTACAGGCCACTAAGGAGTTTGATCTATGGACAAAATTATTCGGATATGGCTGGTTACCTTCAAAAAATTCTGGAGCCTCTTCCGGAATTGCGCAGAAAGTTGAACAAAGACACTGCTAGAGATAATTATGGCTCATCCCCCAGTGTGCAACAAACTGCTCCTGAAGATGCAGTAAACTTAACTTATAAGCGCTCAGTCACACCAATTATTGAAGAGGCTGAAAAAGCAATACAGCTTTTCGATGCGGTCAACAAAGGGGACTTTGCTGATGTGCATCGGCTGCTGATGTCTGGGGCAAATGCCAAGACCAGGATGGAAAATGGGTGGGCGGTGTTTCATGCAGCAGTTAAGGGAAAAAACTGGAAAATTATACAGCATTTGCTGGATACTGATCATACCAGTATCAATACAAGAATGAATAATGGATGGACACCACTGCATGAAGCAGCAAAAGGAGGGGTCAAGCAAATTGTGCAGCAGCTGCTAGAAGAAGGTGCCATTGTTGATGCAAGAATGAATGATAGGACATATAATGGACGGACACCTTTACATGAAGCAGTGAAAAAAAAAGATATTGATATTGTTCAACTGCTGATTGACAAAAGTGCTGATGTTAATGCAAACTTTGATAACAGATGGACACCATTACATGAAGCAGTTAAGAGAAAAAGCAAGGAAATTGTACAACAACTGCTTGATAATGGTGCTGATCTTAGTGCAAGAATGAATAGTGGATGGACACCACTTCATGAAGCAGCTAAGGAGGGCAACATGGAAATTGTTCAGCAACTGCTGGATAATGGTGCGAATATTGATGCAAGAATGGATAATGGATGGACACCACTTCATGAAGCAGCTAAGAAGGGCAGCATGGAAATTGTTCAGCAGCTGCTGAATAATGATGCTAAAGAAAATGCAAGGACAGATAATGGATGGACACCACTACATGAAGCAGCTAATGGGGGGAGCATGGAAATTGTTCGGCAACTGCTGGATAATGATGCCAATAAAAATGCAAGAACAGATAGTGGATGGACACCTTTACATGAAGCAGTGAAGAAAAAGAAGATTGATATTGTTCAACTGCTGATTGAAAAGGATGCTGAGGTGAATGCAAACTTTGATAACAGATGGACACCATTACATGAAGCAGTTAAGAGAAAAAGCAAGAAAATTGTACAACAACTGCTTGATAATGGTGCTGATCTTAGTGCAAAGATGAATAGTGGATGGACACCACTTCATGAAGCAGCTAAGGAGGGCAACATGGAAATTGTTCAGCAACTGCTGGATAAGGGTGCAAATACTGATGCAAGAATGGATAATGGATGGACACCACTGGATGAGGCGATCACAGGGAGAGATATAACAATTGTTCAGCTGATGACAAGGTATAGGGGCAGAGACCAATCATCTATAGCCTCTACTGCCATACCACACGCATCGAGACAGCTGATGATTGCTTGATGCCCCTATATGAATTGTCTGAAGAAAACTTCAAATGGTTTGCCTGTTATTCACAAGACCCATATTTTTAGCTGAGAAAAAAAAGTTGTTTTCCAACTTACAATGTTACAATGGTGCCCAACAAAGTAATTTAGTTGGGAGGCTACAGCTGATTCACAGAGTAAAATGATAGGTATGAGTAATGAGTATTGTTTCTCTGATACTCTGCCATCCTACTTATATTAGAATTGCTACTCCTAAAAATGCTGATTATGAGAGGTGGACACTGAAATTGTTGCATGAAATCTCTAGCAACCTTCTATCCATGGTATTTGTAAGGATTCGCCCGCGAACCCCTTACATGGATGAACAACACTCACAAGGGCTGGGAGCCGCTCGCGAGATGTTCTGTGACACACTAAGTCATGTGCTCCCGAGCACAACCCATAGCAGAAATGGGGAGGATTTGTAAACTGTAGATCCACTAGTCCCAATACATTTACATCAGAATATATGTTTATCTGAATCCACAGTTGTTTGGAAGTTTAAAAATATATATGTTCTGAATTTGGAAACATAGCTTCCAATCCTCAACATAAAAATCAGGAAATGTTCAAACCCCTGATCAACAAATATATCTAGGAACATTTGAGATACCTTTTTGGGTTTATAAATGTTTATAGTATAGAAACCATTATAGTATAGAAACCATTATAGTATAGAAACCATTATAGTATAGAAACCATTATAGTATAGTTACTCCAGCAGACACTGAAGAGATTTCAACTAATGTGCAATACTACATACATCAAACTGCCTGATCCATCTATAAAAAGAAAATGCTCCAAGTGCAGTTGAGAAAGATAATTAGCAGAGCAGAATCTAGTTTGAGCCTTTTGAAATCTTTGCTGACAGGTATTGTGTAAAGGCTTGGTTTGCAGATTGCAGGTAGACTGATTATATGAATCTCATCCTGATTTACCTGCAAAATTGGCAAATCCAGTACCCTCTTGTGCCAAATTTCATAAGCAGAGAACATGGCAAAAAAAACCCTCCAGCAGCTGCCCTGGTTGTGGGTGAATATGCACCTTATTTGCCTGATCTTGGTGCCTGACACATGAGTATACTCAACCAGATTATTGAGTTTCAATATAGTGTGATGCACATCTTTATTGAATATAAAGGTCAGCTTTTGAAATAATTGAATTGGGGTTGAACCTCCACCAAGCATATGTTGATATGCCCAATCACTGCTATATGAAAGTCAGAGCTTTTGCAAAAAGAAATGCATAATTAGTAGTTTGGAAAGCTATATGCTTTGTAAACCAAGCAATTCCATGACTTTGCAGCTAGCTGGTAGTCAGCAGTAGACATTGATTAAGGTATAGAAGAGGGTAGTAGCATATGAATTATTGGCTTTGTTAGCATTCTCATCATCATCTTGTTGCTCATTGTGTTCTGATTACATGAGGTCTTGCATGAGAATTGGACATTCACAATGAAGTTGCTTCATCTGGCTGCTAATATAGAGTTCTGATTCCATAAGAGCCCCATCAAGAATCAAGAATATAGTGTGTTTGAAGCTCTCATGAATCAGTAAAATCTTTTCAACATCATGCTTGTTGGTTTGCTGCACAAATGCTTTGTATTTATAGTGTTTATTCTTCCTGATCAGTACATTGTAGTTATTTGGTACAGCATACTTCTTTGTCTGATTGGCATAGTGCACCCCAATATGCATGTTTGGTTGGTGTTTCAAAGCATGTAACATCTTACCTGCTTTTAGGACAATACTGACAGTATTAATTAAAATGTTCTCTGTCAGAGGTGTCACAATCTGATTGAATACTGATGAATTTTGCTGTGATCTCAGCATTCATACTGCCTGGCTAGCTGACCATGATGCTTCAGCAGCCATGACAGTAGCATCTATCACTTTCTGAAGTATAGTTTGAGTGTTGGCAACCATACTTTTAAGTTCATTGTACTCAACAGATGTCTGAGAAGTCAATAGTGAATTGCTTCTTGCAATAGCATCAAAGATTTTAGCAAGCAACAAACATGGAATGTTGGAATCAATTAACTGTTCACTAAAGAAGTTATAGAGAGCCTGCTGAACAACAGTCTGAATCCAGTCAGACTTTAGAGCAAAGCAGAGTATAATTGGGATTACAATTAAAGCTCAGATGTGTTTCTGGATTTGATAAAACTTCAGATGAGTAATTGAAGACTGCAGTTGGGCTCAGTATTTCTGAAATGAAAATTTCTGTAGAGTTTGGCAGTATTTCTTCTGCCTCTCAGGTGTTAATATATGTGATATCAATAATGTATGTGCAATTTTGGACAGGCCTGAAAATTCACTATAACAGGAGTCAGAGGGGAAAAATGTCACTAGATTCAATACTAGACAGATCTTCAAAACTGGGGGACTTTTCTTGACTAATTCATGGGTCTTCCACAGTGCTTCTCACTTGTGAACAGTCTACTTCACCTCAATTTTGGCCTGCAAATTAAGTAGCTGGTAATGGTATCAGCTGTATTTCATCAAGTCAAAATTCATATTAAACCTCTCTGCATCAGAGACAGTACAGCTCTAACAGGAGACTGTTGCAGTAAAGTGTTTAATTCCAGCATTGTCATTTTGCTGTAGCATGTCATCAAGATAAGCAATACAAGAAGTAATGACTCTGACAGTTTCTTCACCAGTTACCACAATATCAAATCCTCTTTCAACTACTTGTAAACCAGAAGCCAATGCCCCCACAACATCAGGAAAATTTGTAGTATAAGGTCTGAGAGCAATTGTATATACATTGTTTCATCATCTTCTTTCAGAATCATTAAGTTCTGCAGAGATCATATAGAAGCCAGTTATATTTCAGTACATGTTTTAATATAGACTGAATCTGTCAATGAACAGCAGGAAGGGAATAGATATAGTTCTCTTGATAGCATCACCTGGACAGAGTATCTTGATCAGCATATCTCTTCTGTATGCTGCAATTTCCAGTTCACTCTGGAGCAGAGTGCTAAGTCAGAGCTCTTGTACAGATAATGTGTGGTGAATTGTATTCATCACTTGCTGTATAAAGAACCTATTTATTTCTGAGAGTTTGTAGCTACCTAATCTGTTAAAGATGTAGTCAAGATGGACATCCAGTCAGGCTAGAATGTTGTCTTCATGTATGATGTGAGTTTTCTGGTCTTTCAGTAAGAGCAGCTCATTCAGGCAAAGTGGAGATCTTAGCAAATGGATTCTTTTATCAAAGCTGTTAGTAGTAATAGTGTACTGGACAATAAGAACAATTTTACTGGGTTTTGTGCAGGCCAGTCTCTGGTCCTGATCCACAAATTAAATTCTTCCAATATGGATTTCTTGTTCATTTCAAGTGCACTTACATGCAGCATTGTTGCACCTGAAACAAATAAAATTGAAAGAAAAGACTGGTGTTCTGTCAGAATATCATGCAAAGTCACCCAACAAACATCTAATAGAGCTCCCCCAGCTCCATGATTGTCACAATTCAGTTGAGTTGTCAACTAGATCAGCCATACTAATATGTATCTTCTTGTGAAATACAGGAGACCTTGCCAGTAATGACAAAAGAGCCACAGAATCCTGAAAGAATAAATTAGATGTGAGAGATGTCTGTATTAGTTGCTTCTTGGCAGGTGAAAGAGTTGGCATTTTCAATGGAACAGCTGGTATGGATGCCTGTCAGATAGGAAGCATAGAGAATTGAGCTCTGCATTTCTTCTTCAATGTGCTCAGCCCCAATGATAGAGATCTCAGTGCACTGATATCTTTGGGAATCTGTAAGACTTCCTACAGTGCCTTATAGTGTTGGTGAGATATTCCTGATTTTTCACACCATAATTCTAAAGTGAGTGTGAAGTGGTCCAGCATTTCATCAGGCTCCACATGTGCATGGACTAGAACCTCTGATGGGTCATTCATTATAGTTGGGATGTAGGTCTCAGCTGGCTGGTTGCTTAATGAATTCTCTAGTTGTGAATGAAAATCAGAATCTCCATTGCCAACTGGATGCACTGAATATAACATAGTCTGTAACCAGGGTTTGGATTTGGGCTCTTCATACTGTTGTGATTCATTGTTATCAACTGATTCCATGAGTAGAGCTGCCACTGCTTCTTGTATAATCTCCTGCACCCTGATGTCTTCTGGTTCAGAATGAGTGTTGAATAGAGTGTTGGATGGAGCATCAGAGGCATCTGAAAGACTTGCTGCATCCTGTTGTAGTGGGGATTCCGGTACCATATTAGGACAAAGGTTGTTCCGGTCCGAGGTGCAAAACCCCCCCAGCTACTATCTCTGAGCTATATAAACCACCCATAGCCCCTGCATCTCGCTCAATACCTTCGCGCACCTTTGTACTTTTCCACACACTCATTCTTTATTGCTAGTTTGGTTATTAGTTAGAGAATATGAAGATCTCTTGTTCATGAAGCTTGCCACTGTTCCTCATTAGAGCTGCCTGTGTTAGTACAGGCTCTTTAGTACTATTATTCCTTATGAGCTTAGGCATCTGTTAAGGCATGCTTCTCTGTTCTTACTACTCAGCCATTACCATCCTTACTATGTTGTGATTTTTCATCCTTCTTGCACTCTCACCATCTCAACCAACTCGCCTACTTTGACGAGGCATCCCATTGTACCCCGCTTCATTTGGTGACCAAGCTGAGACCTGAAGATGATGATGCAGTGATTTGGTGGCTGCCAAGGAAGAAAAAAAACAAATTCTGAGACACATGAAGCAATACACTATTTCAAGGTAAGATCTTATGGACTAGGAATACAGTACTAATCAGGTTTTTGTTTAGGAACAAGGTTAGGGAGCTTAGATTTGAATGGCTCTTATCTAAAGCTTGCCTGATAAATAGGTTTTTTTGGAAAGATATTGAATCATTGAGAAACAACAGAACATACTGTGTGACATGACCAAAGATCAAGAAATCAAGAAATCAGGATCAGAATCAACTATGGTTGAAGGTACTACAGG